CCTGCTGAATTCATCACCTCCATAGCACGGAGCACAGTGGAACCCAGAGAGCGAGGGGCTTGGGGTTTTAGTCTTTAAAAAAATATAAAACTAAGCTTGCTTGAATCTCAGCACTTCCCCTTTTCTCTTCATAGCAAGATGAGCTTTACAGGGCAAAACCAATACATGCTCCTCAGCGAGTGGAAGCAGACTTAAGGGCCAGATCTTTCCACTTTACCATTAGCACTAGAGAGGAAGTTGAGGAATACTGATTGAAATGGCCACAGGAGGTCTGAAAAGAGGAAAATAAGTCTTGGAGGCATAGCACTCCTTCCCTCCAGCCTCTCTTACGGGAGGTAGCCTGCGTCACCAACACCAAAGGAGGAAACTGCAACCAGAACGAAGAGTTCAGGGCATCATGGCCAACCCTGTGCCCCGTTCTTCTGGATTGTCAGAGAGGCATTTTCTTCACTTGAGGGTAAAAAACAAAGCACAGACCAAAGATTACTGAGTAGGCTGGGGGACTATGGGGTTTCCCTCCAGTTTTTAAACACTCTTGTCACATTTGAGGGAAAAAGCACCTGATCACATCACAAGTTACTTTCCCCCCTGCCCCTTCTTCCTGCCCGCTCCTCAAACCTGATTCCTTGAAAACTCCACTACTACAAAGCAGGGTAACATGCAGAAAACGTTACCAATTCCTTGAGGAAGGAAATGCAATAGCTTCAGCAAAGCACAATCTATATCCAAAGGGGTATGTCCTCTTTACCCGCGTTTCATTCCCAGGCTGTGTGCAAAGAGGTCTGAGCAAGGTGAACTTAGAGGGGAGTTTTTCCCCCCCTTTCCCAGCTTCTTTCCTGCGAAAGAATTTTTTTTTTTTTTTTGTACAGAACAGAAAACTAATTTAGCCCCCAGATTTCAGCTCAGTGAGGCTGCGTCATGCTCGCTGCAGTCTGTCGGACTTCCACTAGACAAGCGTTAATCAAAACCAGCACAGGCAAGAACGGTGGATTTCTTGTCTTCCCCCTTCAGAGAACAAAATGGAAGGAAAACAAAGCCACTGCAGGAAAGGAGAGCAAGGGCTTCCCGCAGTCTTGCTAATGTCCCTTAATTCTCATCTCTAAACATTCCTGGTATTACTCAAATGTCTCTTGATCAAAGACAGCCAGCTGCACCAAACGTGAGAGCTGACTGGTAACATGGACAAATGCTTGTCAGCGTCTAGAAGGCAGTAAAGTAGTTTGCAAGTGAGCTAAAGCTATAATTAAAGCCATGATTTTCACTCCAAAAGGGTTATTGTATAAGTCATTACCTCATCAAGCTTTCTGCCAGCACAGAGGTTTAAAACATCATATGACTCCCCTTAAAAACGACAAGGTATTCACTATTTTAAATGTCTAAATTAGCTTTTCCCATTTATGCTTCTTCCATTACAACTCCACACAGGGAGTTTTTCCTTCCTGTTCAACAAAACATTGTTATCAGCAGCATAACGCAGCTGCCTTTTTTACTGTACCTGAATAACTGTTCTCACACACGTATGAGGAGACTGGGGAGAAGCAGGAGTGTTGGCTAGTATGAACGCACATGCTGCATCCTGAACCCGCTTTTCTGATCTTTAAGCCAAGGGAAATGATATAGCCAAAAAACCCACAAAAAACAAACCCCAAGCCCTTACCCTGATGCAAGCACGGCTGGCCAGGGTCAGAAAGGCTTCATTATGCAAAACAGAGCAGCAGCTCACTTGAACACGAGCACTGAAAAATTCCAGGTTTTTACTAGAAGTGGACACACATTACCTGCCCAGGTAGGCTGGGCTTTGCCCTACTTTCCTTCCTGCTGTTCTCTGACTCCTAATTTAATTTTCTCAAATAAAAAGGTTAGTCTCCCCAAGCCCTACAAGAAAACACAGCCTCTAGCACTAGTTTAGCTTAATGCATTATCACAATTAGCTCTAGCAGCACACTTGTGTGGTATGTGTGCATATATTTTGCTGCTTTGCAGATACAACAGAACATCCTTCCTTCATATAATTCCATTTGTAGAGACACTTCCCAGCTGTATAACATATGCAAAAACATTAGAAGGACAGAACACAAAACATCTTCATTTTTAAAACACCTTTGAAACAAAAATAATTAAGCTTTCATGCTTTAAAGAATATTAAATTAGCATAAGCCCGTTGTGCATTTACACATTCATATTTTTAAGTGGATATTGAACAGAAAGCTTTGATGCTGTTTATTTTCTTATCACTGGTAATTAACAACAGCAAAACTAGGAGCTTAAGGAACATCAACCAGATTAAAAGAACCAAAAACTCCCACCACCAACTAAACCAAACACCTACCTACACAGAGAAGAAAATATCCTGAACATTGAATATAACGATGAGAAATTAAAACATTATCTGGAGGCAAGTTATCCTTTAAAAACACAACAACGGGGCTGTCTCATTTTCAAGAGCTGCCTACCACTACTTCCTATGTAGGCCTGTCGTATCTTATTTCTGCATTCTTTTTTTAAGCTTTATGTGCAATATATTTAACAACAGTTTTAGCTAAATTCACTATTGAACCAAGATTTGTACTAGAAATGAAAACAATGTGACCAGTTGCACCTGGATATAATACCACCTTTCCCTCCCTCCTTCTGCAATCAGTATGAGAACTATAAGACAGTTCTCCAAGAAAGGAATACTGCAAGACAGAGACGTGACTGCAGGAGGCTCCTTGAGAGAAACATCAACTACTTTAACTTCTACCTCAAGAGATTAAACTGTCAACCTACATTAGAAATCAGAATATGGAGGATTAAACTCTCAAGTTTTCTTCTTTATTAAAAACTGGGAAGCATATTAGCAGAACGGCAGTTAAAAAATGACACGGAACTGAAGGCTGCCCGACCCGAGCGTGGCTGCAGGGGAGATCCGCCACCTGCTAACCTCGGTACTGTAAGAGTTCTGCACTCCCCCCACGGCGAAAGCCACCTCGTCTGCTGAGAGCAGCACTTCTCTGCTCCTGAAGAGGACACACAGGGAAGAAGATTAGGATGGCAATTTGGCTATCGAATCTCCTTTTAGGAGGTGGCCTTCCACTGCAGGTTAAGCGTGACACACGCAGATGAGCCCCACCAATACTGTGCAGACCAGGAGGTACCACAGAGCTGTGCTGCTTAGCACTGAAGATAAGATTTAGTGCCAGGCTCTATACTATTTCGAACTTTAAGTGGAGGACCAAGGTTTAAGTAAAGACTTGTCATAAGCTCACCATGCAAGAAATACACAAAATAGAGACTTCTTATTAGGCATTGACAGCAGAAGACAGGCATGCCTTAGAAGAGTCACATGCTAATCACAACTATTATCTGCCCCATCTGGCTAAGCCTCACACTGGATGGGTTTTACATATCCACAAAAATAAGCAAGCACACTTTTAAGTTGTTGAAACAAAAGTATTAAAAAACCTAGTCCAACCCAGACATGCTCAGTAGTCCAAATGAAGCTGAATTCACACAGACCCAGCTGTGGGACCAAGCCCCTCTCTTGCCTTGGGTCACACAGCTGTACACTGCACGGAAACTCCCAGTAGTAATGTGTTCAACGATCTCTGAAGAACAAAACAAAGCATGAAACCCGAAGAAGGCAGAAGAAAGA